GCAGCAGCCTTGGGGCCTATGAATCTAGGTGACTGTGGGAGCCAGTGCCGCTGCTTGGCAAGATTTCTTCTCATCATCGTTCATGATGAGTTTGGACTGGATGCCCAGAGCTTGAGATAGACGCGTCTAATAACAGATGCCAGACAGTGCATCACACGGACCGAATAGTTTGCATGTGGCATGCACGGGAGACCCAGCACCTCATTTCACGCAGGGAATAAGCGCCCAGCCATGGGCACCAGACCAGGTTCTGATTGAACTCATGGGCCATAGAGCCCCAGTAGCTAACCACTCCGCTGCTTTCTTGCCTCTCTGGTGCCTGAGGATTTGTGGAATTATTCGCCCTCAAACAAACCTCTGTGACATCTCCGCCTCCACGTCTTCGCAATGGTATCACATTTCCCATCTCGCAATGGTGCTAAACAGGGGTCATGTGCATCTAATCTCTGAGAGTATGTTGCCTAGGGAAAGTCCTGCTCTGCTGCCAGGGATACAGGGCCAAATACTACCCTCATTTACACTGGTGTAAGTCTGGAGAGACTCAACGGAGTCCCTTGGGATTGACCCAGGTGTAATTTAGAATCTGGCCCTCGCTCTGATAGATTAAATCCAGCCTGTTGCATCTGGAGCGGTATGAAACAATTCTCACTGCTGATGAAACTGGCTTAAAATAAAAAGTCATTCCCATGGATTAGTAAAATAGCCAGACAGTTGTGGCTCCCGTCCAGAACAGCTCGTGAAAGAGCAGAAGGCAGGGGAAGCAGTTGCGTTTGCTGGAAAGAACAGGTGAATTGCCACCGGAAAGGAAGAGACCAAAATAAATTCCCACGTCCCTTCTTGCCCCGGGACTGGTGTTCGGATTGCACCATTTCCTGGGTGAGGGCGAGTACATTTCATTTTCCTCTAGTGAAATTTGGTCCTGGATCAAACGGACGAGTACTCAGCAAAGAAATACGCTGAAGCGTTTAGGGAGGCAGCTTGGCCTAGTGGATAAAGTAGTCAGGTGACCTGGGTTCTAGTCACAGCTGTTCTACTGTGTGACCTTCAGCTGCTCACTTCCCCTCTGTTTCTCTCCATCTCCTACTGATTTGATGCCCTTTGGGGGCAAAGACTCTCTCTTCCTGTGCACTGGTGGAGGGCTGAGCACAGTGGGGTCCTGATCTTGGCCGGGGCCCCTAGGGGTGAGCACCACTGTCCCCTATTATCTGATTGGAGGCTCAGCTTTAAAACCCAGCGATGATCCCTCACTGTCAACATTCCCCATTTAATCACGGATCATTTTTCTTGGCTTAGATGGGGAAGTGAAGCCCAAGGGGCTGGGACCTGGGAATGGCCAAAGGGAAGGAAATGCAGCGAAAAGGAGTCGAAAAACCGAGCCGATGGAGCGATGCAGAGAGAGAGGGTAGAGAAAGAAGGGTAACGAGCAGAGATAGCCATGGCTTGAAGACGGGGAGATTTTTTCACTGAGTGATGAATGCAATAATGAGGCACAGAACAATTAATAAATAACTAGACATTTAGTTACTACATAAAAGCCGCGGCCTCCCCTTGAGCTCGACGCAAGCCTTCTACCGATGCCGACGGGCATTCCTCGGGGCACTGGGGGGAATATATCACCCTCAACTTATCCCCCGGCCTCTGGGCTATGCTCAAGCATGGAATTCAGATTGTTCCTTAGAAGGAGATTGACCCCCTGACCCTAGAACTGGTCGGAAAATATTCATCTCACGGGTTTTTCAGTGGAGAATGAGGTTTCCATCGAAATTTGAACATTTTTTAAAAAGTGTCCATTTCAGCTGAATTGTGTTTCCAAAACCCCGCCCGAACACAGCAGTTTCATAATGCCGAAATGGTCCATTTCGACGTCTGCGGACTGGAATGGTTTGATTTTTGTTTTGAAACGACTTTTTGGAATGAAATTCGTTTTTTGCCATTTTTTAAGTATAAAAAAGGTCAAAATTGGAACAAAATGTTACCATTTAAGCAGAACAAAACATTTTAATGAACCCAAAACAAATCTCGGGGGGGGGGGGGAGGGCGTGATTTTGTTTCATGTGAAATTTTGTCATTTTTTCATTTGGGTCCATTTCGGAATGGAAAAAAAATATGGAAATGCAACATTTCCCAGGGAATGGAAAATCCCGTTTCTGCCAGCTCTAATAGACACACCGCGACAGCATCTACTCCCGTCAAAGTGGATGAGCATCTTTCCACTAACTTCAATGGCTTTGGGTTGGACACATGGAGAAACAGAACCTTCCTCATACACGCAGAAGGTCTGAATCACAACTTTTCGGTTTTCAGTTGCCAGAAACGGCAACATTTTTTCCAGATTTTTTTTCACAAAAACCTGAAAAATCCCAATGAAAATGCTCACCATCTCCTCTCAGTTTTGGCCTGTTTCGACACCAATGCCATTTTCTGTCCAAAAAAATGTTTTGGACAGACATTTTTTGTCAGTTCTACGATTGTACTTTCCCCATCCACAGCAAACACTCGTGTCAGTGACCATGCAGGCTAGAACACTTTGTCCTTAACCGCACCACGGTTGTGCTCGTTCTGGTCTCTTTTTTGCCCCTAAGTATTCCACGGATACAAACCTACCCTACAAACCCATGATCACACAAACAGCCCGCTGAAGGCAATCGTTCCCCTCAGCTCCTGTGAGGCCTTATCCCGCAGGCTGACCTAAGCAAGGCACTCAGCAACTTTCAGGATCAAACCTCATGACTGTGTGTCAGGCAGTTCATAGAATCATAGAATCATAGAATATCAGGGTTTGAAGGGACCTCAGGAGGTATCTAGTCCAACCCCCTGCTCAAAGCAGGACCAATCCCCAACTAAATCATCCCAGGCAGGGCTTTGTCAAGCCTGACCTTAAAAATCTCTAAGGAAGGAGATTCCACCATCTCCCTAGGGAACCCATTCCAGTGCTTCACCACCCTCCTAGTGAAAAAGTTTTTCCTAATATCCATCCTAAACCTCCCCAACTGCAACTTGAGACCATTACTCCTTGTTCTGTCATCAGGTACCACTGAGAACAGTCTAGATCCATCCCCTTTGGAACACCCTTTCAGGGAGTTGAAAGCAGCTATCAAATCCCCCCTCATTCTTCTCTTCTGGAGACTAAACAATCCCAGTTCCCTCAGCCTCTCCTCATAAGTCATGTGCTCCAGACCCCTAATCATTTTTGTTGCCCTCCGCTGGACTCTTTCCAATTTTTCCACATCCTTCTTGTAGTGTGGGGCCCAAAACTGGACCCAGTACTCCAGATGAGGCCTCACCAATGTCGAATAAAGGGGAACAATCACGTCCCTCGATCTGCTGGCAATGCCCCTACTTATACAGCCCAGAATGCCGTTAGCCTTCTTGGCAACAAGGGCACACTGTTGACTCATATCCAGCTTCTCGTCCACTGTAACCCCTAGGTCCTTTTCTGCAGAACTGCTTCCTAGCCATTCGGTCCCTAGTCTGTAGCAGTGCATGGGATTCTTCCGTCCTAAGTGCAGGACTCTGCACTTGTCCTTGTTGAACCTCATCAGGTTTCTTTTGGCCCAATCCTCTAATTTGTCTAGGTCCCTCTGTATCCTGTCCCTACCCTCCAGCATATCTACCACTCCTCCCAGTTTAATGGCACTTGCTATCAGAGATGTGTACGTTCTCCAAGTGCCATTAGACAGAGAGATAAAGAGTCTCCATATATACACTTCCCAGGCACAGATCATATTATCTTAGCATGCACATGAAAAAGGTGAAGTTTAGCATCATGATGAAGCATTGCACTTGCTATCAGAGATGTGTATCGATGAAATCAGGCATAAAACCAACGTTCTGGGATACACCCCTTCAGTCCATCACCTGCCAGCTACATAAGTACACTGCCCTCTCCAGATATTAGTTGCCCAGAGCCATATGGTAGATCAGAGGCTTTCTAAAGTCCTTAGAGAAAGTCTTTGCTTGCAGAAATAACACCTCTTACAGGGTTGCAATGGACAGAACAAGGCAGGGAAGACTGGAGGCTGGTATTGTCAAGGGGGCAGAGTTAAGGTTGTTTGGGGATCATAGCTGAGACTTTCCCTACTTTCAAAAGTCTGAGTTTCTTGTAAGCTTAACCTTAGCTATGAATTTTATAGCCTGTCAATGGGCATGTTTGGTAACAATAGCATCCTTACAATGAGTCTTACTTTTCCGTTACTAGTATGGACTTTTAACTTTACCTTCAAGGTTTTCTCTGGGAATGGCTTTAGAACTCACAGGTGCATGATGGGTACCTGTCAGATTCTCAGCAGTATTTCTTCTCCTCCCAAAATGGTTCAGTTCCTTTTGGGAACCTCAAACTCTTAGGATGAGCTTCCCCGGAAAGTTAACACTGATTAACCATGTCATGTCCTCTTCTTGAGGCTAGTCCACACAGCGTATGATAACCTACTACTACTAAATAGGTAATGGAGTTGCTCCTTTAGCTCGAGTGGCAGAAGCCTGTACTCTTGATTGCGACTGTCCTGGATTCAAACTGTGGTGATAAAGCTGGTGGGGGGTTGGTACCCAATAAAGGGAAATTGATTGAGACAGCTGCATATATGCCTCACCGTCGCTGGTGACCCCGCTCAGTGTGCATCAACCCACACTCCCAAGGACCTCGTCACCAGAGTCCGTCCGTGGCGGGAAGCAGGCAAGCGAGGGCTGCTGATTAATTGGATGATTTACACTCCTTTCTATTGGGGAACTACCATAGGGAGGAGTCAGTGCATGATCCCCGTCTCAGCATCCAGCCCGAGCAGCCAGCCTCGACACTGCAGACCGGCAGTGGGGCAAGAATTTTTTTGTACACCAACACAGCCAGGCCATGGAGCAAACCGGCGGTAGCCCTAACACCCCAGGATTAGGAGCTGCTAGAGAGCTGTGCTGCAGGGTGCAGAGGGACATCCTGCGTGGTCCCCTGGGAGCTTGCCCCCCATGCAAAGGGGACAGGAATAGCCACCAGACCCCTTGCTTCTTACCTGTGTCTCTGATAGGTTGAGTTGCCTCGCTAGCTCCGTCCTCTCCCTGCCGACGACATACTGACACCGCTGAAATTCCAGCTCCAGCCTGTACAACTGCTCGGCTGTGAAAGAGGTTCGGGTCCTCTTGGGCCGGTCCAGATCCAGCCCTTTGGGGAGAACAATCTCCCGGATGGTCCCTTTGGCATCTGTAAGTCAGCACAAGGAGAGCAGCGTGAAGAGAAGGCTCCCGTTCTCAGGCTGTGCATCGCAAGAGTTCCGGAGCATCCTGCCCAGAGACTCAGCCCTTAAAAACCCAGTCCCCAAAACCCCAACCGGCAGAGCTAAGGAGATGGGTCTGGTCCCTTCTGAGCTATTCCAAAAACACCAATTATTTTTGTGCGGGGACTTGAAAAAAATAAATGCTTTTAAATCCAGCCCAGTTGCCTTTCTGGAAGATGCTTCAGCCAAACACGTCACTGGGCTCAATGCAAAGATAAGTGGGTGAAATTCTCTGGCCTTTTATACAGGAGGCTAATCTAGCGATCCCTTCTGGCTTTATAATCTACAAATCTGGGGTGGGGGGGTGTCAGAATTTCCCATTAAGATTATTTGATTTTTGGATGAAAAACTTAAGCTGGAAGCAGAAAAATGTTCATCTTTTTAAAAGTGTTCTTGGTCAAAAAAGGTGTGATTTTTGAAACCAGAAATGTGTTTACGAAACAAAGAAAATATTTCAAACAAGCTGCTTTTCTTTTTAAGACCAAAAGCATTTCGTTTTTGGTTTCTACTTCTCACAGGAAAACTGAAACATTTTGTCTGAAACAAAAATTTTCCGCACAAATGTTCATTTTTGTCCAAAAGCCATTTTGCATTGAAAACATGTTCTACCAAAAAAATGCCCACCGGCCCTAGTTGTGGGGTCTGTTCTCCTAGCTGCCTCTCTGCGGCCTGGCTCTCCAAGATGTCGTGCACCTGTTAGGATGTACCTGCAGTGCCACTGAAGGCAATGGGAGGGGAAAGCAGCCAGCACCTTGCTGGATTGGGCCTGAGGTGAGTTTAGGTCACAGGAGAGACCTAACCCAGGTCAGGAGTGAGCAATGGCCGTTACTCATGTCTGTATCACGGACTCCACCACTGCGGTTGGCACCTTCTCATGGGTTTAGCTTCAGACACCGTGTCATGACATAGGGAATAAGACATAGTCTTATATAGTACACATTTATTAGAGAACAGCTATAAACTATAGATTCTGACACGCCGGCTTCTACCCAGCTCGGTTTCCAACGTTGCTTCCCTTGTTTAGCAGGACCACACCATGTCTGGAATTCTATATCACGGGCTCTCAACCTGCGGGATGGTGAACAGGTGTCAGGGATTTGTAACCACCCTGCCCGTCCCATGTGGTACTAAATGGGAGCTAGGCAGATCCCAGCCCTCTGGGCACGGAGGAGTGGGAGATGAGCAACAAGGTAAAATAGATCTCACTTAAAAACCTGGAAAAACAACGAGGAGTCCAGTGGCATCTTAAAGGGTAACAGATTTATTTGGGCATAAGCTTTCATGGGTAAAAAAACACTTCTTCAGATGCAACGGAAGAAGTGGTTTTTTACCTACGAAAGCTTATGCCCAAATAAATCTGATAGTCTTTAAGGTTCCACCGGATTCCTCATTGTTTTTGTGGATACAAACTAACATGGCTGCCCCTGATACTTAAAAACCTGGGTGATCTTGTAACCTTCCATGTGCAGAGTCCGTGGAAGTTCTCAGCATGACAGGTTTGTGAGGCCAGGGCCAATGTTAGCGAAAGTCGTCCTTACAAAAAAAAACCACAAAAGGTGAAATTCCCTGGTGTGTAACACGTACAACGCACGTAATGGCTTATGTGGGACATAAGTGATGCATATCCCTTGCACTGGTCCTCTGTACAGGGGGAAATTTCCCCCCAAGAGGTATCTGCGATCAGCTCCAAAATTGTGATACAACAGTAAAGCCCTCAGCAGCTAGGGGTAAATGTCCTAGTCAATTTCCCTTTTCCATGGATTGATGGGGAAAGCACAAAGCTCCAGTCTCATTGGATTATATGTTCATTATTTACAGGGTGCCAAAAAAAGTGCATGGCGCTGGAAAGACTTATAAGGAGGGGAGAGTGGAAAATATCCAGACAAATTTGCTGAAAATATTCCCTCAAATCGTAAAGGGCACTGGGCCCATGTTCACTCCTTCCGTGTTTGCTTTCCGCACATATTCGACTGAATGCATTTCCTGGTAAGAGACTGGCCAATGCTAAGCAAACACCAACAAAAATCAATAGACGGGAAAATTTAAACTTGAGATCATGAATGTTCATGCTAGAAACCTAGCTCTAAAACTACACTCATCCAACCAGGAAGCAGGAACAATACGTGACTTGGAATCCAGATACCTTGGAGGCCCCCAAATACCAGAGAGAGAAACAGAAAGAGGGGACTTGCCTCTAAGATCAAGCTAAGAATTTGCTCTCTGAAGCACCTAGCGCATGGAGGTGGGGAGAGGGGAACTGTAAATTAAAGAGAGAGAGAGAAAGAGAGAGAGAGATCTGTGGATGGGGGAGAGAGATCTAGAGATCTATGTGACTGATCAAATCTAAGCAACTCAAGCTCCAATTTTAAGCTCTGAATCATTGAGTGCTTACTGATAAGCTGCTCTCACGTGACCTGCAGCCCAAGAATTAGTCCCCGAAATTACCTGGTGAACAAAAAAACAAATTGTAACATAAAAAAATTCCCAAGGTGCTAGGGGACAGCTGTGAAAGAGGCTCAGGTCCCCGAATACGGAACTCCTTAGGAAGATCTCTCCCAGGTCTCCTGTGGCGACACGGCCCCTCCCCCAGCACGTTTGCCGTCTAGCACAAGCACACACAAACCAGGCCCGGTTTCTCCGCTGCTTGTGTCACACGGCTGGTGGAGTCTGGGCCTGGGCTTTGTGCCGTCGGCCTTTGGGAGATCCCCACGGTGCAGGGGACTAAATCCTCTGACAGTGTCGGGATGTCAAAGTAGCTTCTCTACCATCTCCCTCCTTCCTGCTGACCCAGAAGGGGTGGCCAGGGCCTTCTGCATCTCCCTGGATGCAGGGCCGGCTCCAGGCACCAGCGCAGCAAGCAGGTGCTTGGGGCGGCCAACCGAGAGGGGCGGCAGGTCCGGGTCTTTGGCAGCGGGTCCCTCGCTCCCTCTTGGCGCAAAGGACCAGCCGCCGAATTGCCGCCGAAGACTGAAGCGGTGGCGGTAGAGCGGATCGTGATCGCGGATTTTTTTTTTTTTCCTTCCTCTTCTTTTTGCTGCTTGGGCGGCAAAAACCCTGGAGCCGGCCCTGCCTGGATGCCATGTTGGCTCCTTTCTCGATGTAACTCGGGGCAGCCTGGGACACCGACAGGGCACAGAGCCGGACTCGGGTGAGGGGAGAGCAAAGGCCACCTTTGCAGCACTCCGTGACTGACCAACTGGGCCGTACTGGGTAACAGATGCTAGGGCAAACGGGAGCTGGGGGAGGAGCACGGCTGGGGCTTGGCAGACAGAGCGTACATGGGGTAGGGAGCTGCATGCGGGTCTTTCAATATAACAGTAAAAAGCATCTCTGAATCTCCTGCAAATGTACTATTATTCATTATGATGAGCCCGGAGATCAGGCTCTGGTTTCATCCCCCTTTGCTCCCATCAGTTATGGGCTCAGCCCTGAGCCCTGGCCTTTGAACGCTCACTTGCTCGTTCTGGCTGGGCCAGGAGGGGAGGAGATTTGCAAAGCCAGCAAGGGAGGGCAGAGGAAGGGGGCAGCCAGGGAGAGGAGTGTGATGAGGCCGGGCATGGAGGTGGGCCATGGGAATGTGGAAGGAAGAGAGCTGGGCAGGCAGGCTTGGAAGTGGAGTGGGGCTGAGGCAAGCGCGGGTCGCCTAGGAATGGGGCTCTTGAGGCTGGTTATGGGGGAGCTGTGATGGGCGCAGTGAAGTGGCCATCGAGGGGGGGCAGGGCTCTGTCAACGATTTTGGCAAATCTAAACTCTTCTCTCGGGGCGACTGAGGCTGTAACGAACTCCTTCCAGGGGAGCAGGTGTTACTGCCACAGACCATGGACCCAATTGTCTTCGGTGGGTCGGGTGACCAGACGTGCAGCTCTGAGGGGCCTTTTCTTATATCCGCTACCCTTACCGCCACCGCCACCCCGGGGGGAAAATGTGTCCCGATGTTTCACACTTGCTCTCTGGCCACCCTCGCCGTGGGTCCTTGACTGTCCTCTAACTTGCCAGAAACGAGCGGCCCAGGCTTTCAATACATGGCGGCGAGTCCTCGGTTTCTGCATTAAACCCTCATTTCCCCGACAGCTGCCATTCCCACGCGGAGCCCATCCTCGTCGTGGCCAGTGTTACAAAGGGGCCCCTGAGTGCGCAAAAACCCACACTCCACTTACAGCACTGCAGGCTGGGATGGTGATGCTGTCTCCAGCTATGTACCAGAGGGGGGAGGGGCACCGGCCAACTAAACAGGATGTAACTAAGAGAGGGGGTGGAGCATAGCTCCAGCCCATAATACTCTTCTGAGTAACCCAGTTAACCCCTGGGTGACCATTTTACTACAATAGGGTGGGAGGGGTTGAGACTGGCTGACAGGTTACAAACGGGCCGGGCCGGGCCTGTGCAGATAGGCTTTGAGGAGCCACCGGTCCACCTCTTCCTGGCCCCCAGCCCAGTGGAGCAGGAGCTGTATCAGACCCTGATGACCAGCTTTTAAACCGATCGCCCATGGGGAAAGAGGTTTTAGTGGTAACTCTAGCTGTCTCCAGAATCTTCTCCCGGCCCCACAGCCCTTGGCTGCTGAGATGGCTCTAACACAACGTTTCTCACCCTTTTTGATACCGGGGACCGGCTTGCTGCCTTCCTAAACTGTGTCAGGGAGATCTCAGGGACCGGTGCTGGTCGTTGGGAAACACTGATCTAACACCTGAAACAGTGAGGAGGGGGAAAATACTGTTATGGGGGGAAATCAAATGGAGAAATTGGCGGATCCTTTCCAGCTGCACCTGCAAAAATTCCCTACACACACACTGTATGCCACACTATTTGTGTTTAGTAGATACAGTTTACAGCACACATACACAGATATAGGTAACACACACTCATTGTGTGTGTGTGTGTATATATGAAGACCTCTCCCAGGTCTCCTGTGGAGACACGGCCCCTT